CATGAACCTTAACATTGGTTTTACACGGGATAACCAAAAACCCGAAAGATTTTAATATCAGACTAATCTTGAATCTTGTCTAAGATTTTACCATGGGCTAAGCTTTAAACTGATCATGGTTTTACCCGGGCCTACCAAAAACCTAAGAGATTTTACCACGAGCTAATCATGAACCTAGAGAGACTGAATCATACAATCCCCTACACCAAAACTTTTACATGTTTAGCTTCTAACCCAAACAAAATTTTCTAAATGGATATTATGTTCAACCAAGGTATAAACAAAAGTTCCTAGGTGAACTTCCAATTCTACACTTCTAGAATTACACTTTTATTCTCACTGACAAAAGGACTTTACTCACAAAGGCACTGAGGCTAATGTATTAATGAGAAAAAGTAAAAAAGAAATTTAGAGATAGAGAGAGAGAGAGAGAGAGAGAGAGAGAGAGAGAGAGAGAGAGAGAGAGAGAGAGATTGTATCAAAACACAATTCTTAATGAATTAAAATGAGGGAATGGGCATCTATTTATAAGTTATAGGTTGTCTAAAAATGAAATTTCAAATAAATGCATTTTATGACAATCTAATAGGAAAGAAAAAATATATAGTCATTTCACATAATTTGGTGTTGTCCTAATCACTTGTGAATCAATTTTAAATTGAGTTAACCATTTAGATAAAAGTGATAAGTCAAAATTTTACCTAATCCATTTTGACAGTTTCTGATTTATATGGCTCAACTTCAAGATATTTTTGAAGATATTTTCTTGGTAGAAATCAGTTTGAAAATATATTTTTGTGTGTGCGTACTTTAGCCACACACTTTTACGATAAAGCCCTTATTCTTTAAAATTTGTTCACTCGCTACTAATTTAGGAGGGCTTATTATCACTTCGTGACTTTTCCAGATGCTTTCTCTTTTGTAGATACTTGCTTGAGTAGCTTGATATGATGCTTTAGTTATATTCCATTTGATTGCCATAATTGGATAGTCAAGTCCATCAATCCCTAATACTTAGGTTTGCATCTTTATCCTCTTAACTATTTATGCTTGACTTGTCATAAGACATTAGTTGTCATCATCAAAAGTTGATTTCCTAGTTAAAAGCATATCACTTGCAAAACAAGGTTCCATATTCTCCCATGTTTATGATGAGAACATATCTCTCAGGGGAGGAGGCAAAAGAAAATAACACATATATTTCTGGAGTAATTAAACTCCCCCTAAGTTATATAGAGAGTATACTCTACTTTCCTTGAGAGCATACTTCTCCCCCTTTGTCAAAATAAAAAATTCGGGTAAAGATGCATTTCAAAAAATAAATATGCAAACAATGTCAATTTTGACATATAAAAAAGGAAAAACAAACACTCATGTTATTACTAAGAATTCAAATTACAAAAGGGAAATTTACAGAATTGAAAGTAAACGAAAGGAAATTACATAATTTAAAGTTTGTGAAAAGTAGGAAATAAATAAACAAAAACATAGGTGAGATTATTTTTCATTAGAATTATCATAGAAGAATAGGTCATGTGGTAGTTAGGTTTGGTCAGGGATGAAGTGATGTACTATGAAGTCAATCTTGTCATTATTACATCTATTTTTCCACTTATGATTTTAAGGATGTCTTTGACTGTGGGTAGTTAAGTAGGGGATTATGGGAGATTTTATAAAGAATACTTTTAAAGAGGATTCACAAATGTGAGAATAGGGTTTGTAATGTCTCATGAAGGTTTTAATCATAAACCATGATTCTATGATCTTTTTCTCTAGGATCATTTTCATAGCTTCTTCCTTTTTGTTCATTATTGTAGCAATGGGGATATCTCTTCTTGGTGGTATTATGGGTTTTTTACTTGATGAATCCATGATGATACTTAAAGCAAGAGAAGGAAATCACACAAGAAAGTATGCAATAAGAATAAGATGCAAGATGGAATGGGATGCGAGAAATAGTTAAAAGACATATACCTATTTATAGCTTGTCATTTGAGGATTTGATTGCGTATTCTTTACAAGTATTTAATGCAGGTTATGATTCTAAAAAATAAAATCAAAATATTTCCTATTTGAGTCTCCTAACTGATTGTCTAAGGGATCTAATTGGTTAGATTTTCAAAAAATTTAGGATTTCGTGAAATCTTCATTAATGTTGGGATTTGATTTTTCTTGAGGCACAAGTTAGGCTTGGATTTGATTTGAAATCTTTGTGTCAAGCTTTCCTAATCGGTTTTTACTATGTACTAATCGATTGGGTTTAATTAGATCAACCTCCTTAGGGCATGTTGGGCCTTATCTTTGATATGTGTCTTTTCAACATTCGCATTTGTCATTTTCTAGACCCTTTTGCTAGAAAATACGAAGATATTCATCTTATAGGATAGAAAATAATTTATTTAGATGAGCAGAAAATTTAATTCATTATTTTAAGGGGTTATAAAAATTTCTTGAATATTTAAACCTTAAAATAATGTATGCCCCTTTTATCAAGAAATCTTGATAAATATTTTCCAAAAAGGGGAAATACAAAATTGTGTATCCTCCTCTATATATCGTCGGTTGCAAGAGTTGGAAAAGTCACAAAATGAATAAGCCCATTACAGATATATTGATTCAACTGATCACTAAGGGTTATATATTTTGAGATATTATCAAATACTTTTATCAGATCACAATAGTTTAGATTTGCCACCATCGTTCATCGGATCAAAGACTTCATAAATATTGTATACTTTTAGAAGTATATTATTGCATTGCACAACTTTAATAATAATAGTCTAAACTCCAAGATGCAAATCATACTTGCAAAACACTAAGGTTTAACCTTTGGTGTCCATATCTTCTTGGGCTCGGGCGCATTAGTCATAGAGGGTTTAAGGTTGTTACCTTTAGATCTTTTCAACTTATAAAAAAAGGTTTTGAGTGACCTATTATTTTATAATGTGTGCACTTATAGACTTTATGCTTCTTTCCTTATGATCTATGTCTTTTCGAGACTTTCTATCCTTTTTAAATCCTAGACCATTTTTATTTATGGAAGATCTTTGACTTGATAAAATTAGGTCAAGATTCTTTTTCCCTTGGGCAAATTTTCCTAGGGTTTCACATAGATCAGTTAGTTCTTTTATAAGGGAGTTACATCGTGTTGTACGTCAAAATTTTCCCTCCCTTTTCTTCAAGACATTCTCTTAGGGTTTTCAACTTCTCATTGCTACACTCATGGGATCAAGGCTCATTGGGTTTCTCCTGGCTCAAGATTGTCCATCAAGCAAAAGGTTGAGTTTCACATTGACTATAGAAGTTCAAGAGGCATTCTTATTCACAAAGTCATTCATCAATTGTAAATGGCATTCATCTGGTCAAACTAGGGTTTTTGAGGTATCTTAACCAATCAACTGAAGAAGATCATTGTTCAAAGGCTAAAGGTTTTAGATTCTATCATCATGGCTATCCTCTTAACATACAAGCTTATCTCATTCAAGAATTTCTCCAAAATCCACCAAGAGATTAGGGTTTTGTCCATCAATCAACATTTCCTAATTGTTTGGACCCCAGCTAGGGTTTTGAATGAAATCAGATTGCGACTGGATTTCTGAGCAAAGAATGATACTACATGGTGTTATTATAGAAGCATTTTAATTTGGAAGATTTTTGTTAGAATTTTTATTTCGACCAAGGTCTTTCTTAAGTCTTTCTTTGGGTTTTACTTGTGGCTAATTCAAATTGAAGAGCATAGTTAGGGGAGATTTGAGAGGTCAAAGGTGAAGCAATTAAAGGATGTTTTGGATATTTCATTTGCAATAAATTTGAAGGAAAGAATTGTTACACATATCTGATACATAGTCATACTCTGGATCATTGGGATAAGCCAAGGTGTATTTGTTACCATTTGCTCTACTTTTAAGTGTCTGTTTTAGAATATCGAGCTTTAGGTACTGTCTTTTCTTTGTTTTCTTTAATTACTGATTTAACTATTATCTTTTCTTTGTGTTACAAGGCAAGTCATTACAAATGGTAGAATTGTTTATAACTACTTGGATCACATTACACTTAAGTGGTGGATGCATCCTCGGAATCCACCGATGCTGGGAATTTTGGTTCATTACTGCACCCTCAAGGCAGGCCTCACGTTTTACGCTCCAATCAAGTTTGCAACCACATTTATGCCATTTTGATTTAGCCAAAACCTACTACCTCAACCTTTCTACAAAGTGAACCATTATCGCTGCTAATATCTTGCTCAAAGAAGAGGCAAGCTTACAATTTAAACCTCTTGCCATGCCGGCAAACCACCAACAAGTCTACTCGAAGACTCAACCTGCAAGTTTAAGGAGGTACAACATGAAGTCATCTACGAGTTCAAATTTACAAGGAAAAACTATGTTTGGCACCTTTGTCTCGTTTTGTTACCCACTAAGACAAATATCACGCCATGGTTCTCTTCCTTTACCAATGTCACTAATTGAAGTTTTCCCTCGATGTGTGATCCTTCATTGTGCTAACCTTCCAAAAGTATCATTCCATGATTTCAAGTTGTCATCAAGTTAAAAAAGAAAGATAAGGTGCAAAAGATGAGAACATCAAATAGTGCTTAAGGCTGCATTTGACCTATACAATTAACAGTTCAAACCAAGTAAATTGACTATGTCATGAATCAAGCTTTCAGAGCATGTCCTTTCTCAACCAAACTAGCAAAGACATGAAACTCTACTGAATTGCAACCCATGCCTCTCTAACCTTCATCACAACTCACAATCCTTGGTCGAAAGACATGTTTACTTCAATTATCCAACCTGTCAAAGATCTTCAAGACATTCTCATGCTTCCTTCAAAATTCGTCAAGATAAAAATGCGCCAAATCTTTGGGATAGAGGAAATTGTTGTTAGTATCCACATATCTTGCCATCATACTGCAACTTTCAGCTCTGTACGATATGGAAGCACATACATAAGCTCAAGAAATTCAGTGCAATTACAATTCTAATCTAACCTTGATCATGTCAGCCAACTTTCAACCAATATGCACAATTTCTTACCATATAAAACAAACTTGTTTCCAAGCTCCATTTTGGCCTAAGTTTTCCATGCTTCTCTATGATGATATCCTTGTGAGCAACAACCATCATTATCACATGAAAAGAAAAGATGAACGGATGGGACCACATGATTATTGGCAAGAGACTACCAAACAAATTTGGCAGAATCAGAGGGATATTTGTGCTAATGGATTGATTCCCTCGCCTCACCAAATGGTCACACGATTTTGCACTCTCAATCCCATAAAATCAGCATATTTTACACCACTCTCGAACCAACTCAAAAGCTCCCAATCTCTATCCAAAATATCTCAGCATATTCTCCTTGATTCCATTCCATTCTAATCCACATCACCATCATAATCTCTCTTTTACTCTCACTATCCTCATCCTATAAAATCAATAATCATTAGAGAAATCAGAGGGCAGAGAACCACACTGAAAAAATCACAAATACTCTACTCAATCACAATCACAAACTTCTATCAAATACACCTCAAAACCACCTGAAAAAGATCTCACCAATACTCCACTGAAACTCACTCAAAACTGCATACTCTCTTATCAACCTCTCTCTTCTCAAACAACACAATTCTCATAAAAAAACTCAACTCAAAACCTCTATGTAAACTCTCTACAACAAAATCGGATATACCCTTAACCTTCACGAATTTCAATCCATCATCATCACCCTCGCAGCCGCAACTTACAACTTTCACCACTTTTCACATTCAACCTTCATCTCACTCAAAACCTTCCACGTGAAAACTCACTTCAACCATCAAATCTCAGAAACCTTTCGCTCCCATTTTCAACTTCAAGACCTATTTAACACAAAGAAGAACAATTCACAAATTTTGGAAGCGGAGAAGAGAATAAGGAGACGTAGAGAAGAGAGCGGAGAATCTTACCTCTCACCCCTGCTGTAAGCACATCACTTTATCTGGTCACTTTGAACGAGCTCGCTTGACGCAATCTTCATCTTCCTCACTCTGAAGCTCCCTTTGCATCATCACCTTCTTTTAATTTTGGTTTTCTGTTGGATATGTAAGTTAGGGTTTGGATCTTCCCTTTTTATATTTGAGCTCTTAGGATCATTCATTATGAAATCTAGTAGAGGATTGGGATTATGGGTGGGAAGACGGTTCGTGTGATGTAATTTTTGGCTTCCCCGGTGAAGCTCCACCGTTACAACCGCTGTAGAGTCCACCGGTTTATGTTTTGTTTGTTTATTTTCTCAGAGAGAGAAAGAGGATTTGGGTGAAAAAGATTGATAACAAGAGTAAACAGTGGGTTTCTGTTTGTTTTCTTTTTTGTTTGTTTCAAATGCAGGCAACAGTTGTCACCGGTGGGACGGTGGCACCCAATTTTTTTTCCGATGTCTCTTATCCACAGGCCATACGATGCACCTTCACATCATCACCTTCTATCTCGATTATTTCCACACCTCCATGGATCCAAAGGCCAGTAACGCGTGCCCACGCTAACACGCATAGGCTAGCTCGCTCTGGATCACTGTTACAACTTGGACTTCCCTTTATTTGGGCTTGAATGGATTTCTCCTTCCAACACCCCCTGTTTACTGGTTTTTAGGTCCATTTCTCTTTCTTTCAGTTTCTTTTATTTAATTATTTTTGCTTTCACTTTGTTAAAAATACAAAAATATATTTTGATGTGTTTAAATAAATAATTATTTTGAAGAGTTATATTTAATACTATTAATTAATTTATTAATTAATTTTATTAAATAAAATGACTTAATTTAATTAGTTATTTACATCTTTTGATTGTATTGTTTGTTTATTTAGACTTTTAATCGAACTTTCGATCCGATACATCCCCATTCATGAATTTGTCCCCATTTCCGAAGCATTGTAATAGCGTAGAACTTTATTTCCCGTACTTTACCGCATTTACTTATCATTGTATAGTAATTAGGCGTGTATGGCAAGATTTAAAATCAACTGCTAGATAACTCTAATCAAGACAAATTAACTGAAATCAAAACACTATTCACACACGCACCTCTAAGGCAACCTCGCTTGTTGCCTTCGGATAAAATCGGCATGTCCATCGAACGTGGGAAACTTTAGCAAAGACCCTCGATTAAAAAAGACCATCGTCCCTTGATGACCCTTTGATGTTTCCTTTGGTAAACGATCTAAGTCCCTTACGAAAATTGCTAAAGCATCCTACAAGTTGTCTTCTATGATTGTATGATGACCTGCACATGTCCCTCACATCCAACAATAGGGCTTCCTACTAACAAATAGTAGGGTAGCATTATCTAAAGGAGGAGGAAAAGAACAAAGACCTTTTGAGTAGGTAGATTGCTCGTAATCGCTTGCTCACAAACTAAAACAATTTTCACACCACACACTTTCCAAAACAACACCTTCTTTCAATAAATATTTTCAAAACAAACATTTTGTATACATTCTCAACGATATGAGAATCATTACAAAATTTTCACACTTAGGCATTATCAAAATATTTTCAAACATACTGAAACACAAAGAATTTCAAAAAGTGAGCTAGCGATTAAGAGCCCGTAGATAACTACGGGTGAAAAGGGTGCTAACACCTTCCCTTTTTATAACCTACCTCCCTTACTCAAAATTCTCAAAAGGTCTTTCCTATTCTTTTCACCCTTTCCTTTATTAGATCAAATAAAATTCGATTGAGACTCTTGCTATCCGCAACATTTGCGATAAAATGCAAAACCAAAAGTTAGTTCTCCCACCGTATTACAAAACTGGCGACTCTGTTGGAGATAAAAGAACTAAAAGTGGGGTTACCTTAAGAGCTAGATCATCTATATTGCTTTACTTGTTTGTCTTGTATGCTTTATATTTCGGGATATGCTTGAGTTTACTTCTTGTATAGATCCTATACTCGGATTTGGGGCATTTTAGGTAATTAGCAATAGATCGTGAAGACTATACGGTGTAGACCGATATGGTTGAAGCGATGCCTATGTTAGTGCGACACATTGGTTGGTACCGATGTCCCTTGAGTCAGTCAAGGAGAATATTGGGCTGCCCCGTGGTGTCATAAGCACTAACTGACCTTAGAACCTTATTTGACACAACTTAGCCATTAGAAAGTAGTGAGATGACCGGCTTTGGTGCAGACTGAAGTTGGTTGATACTCGATACTACACTCATTGAGATTGGACTCTCAGGATATTTCTGCCATAAATCAGATGCTTGAGCTGAAACAATGCATGAGAGAAAGATCAGTGATATTGAGGCTCCTAAGACCCAGTTACTTTTCTTAGGACAAGTTGAGTCAACTAAACCCAAGAGGGTACTTACCTACAAACTCCATGCAAGCTTTTCAACCTAAAGCTACTTATGTGACTTGTTTGCATTTATGATCGAACAACTTGAACTCCTTGTAGGACTTATTTGTATTCATTATCTAACAACATGAATTCCTTGCAGGACTTATTTGTAGTCATTATCCAATAACCTAGACTTCTTGCAAGACTTACTTGTTTTCACCATATTACGCTTTTGTTTAGTGCATAACATTCACATCATGACATCATGCCATAAAATTTTCATTAACCATTTTAAAGATCTCAAGGGCCTTTAATGCAGGTTACCATGAACCAGACGCCTAGCAAGGGGCAGGAGGATTTATTTTCCTCTAACCAAATTCCATCAAAGTATCATGAATTGACATCTAACAAGGGGAAAGGGGGTTTATTTTCCTATAACCAATGTCGTCAAAGACTGAAGTACATTATATTGAGTCAAAGTCTAGGACCCACTTGACATGATGAGCTTGACGCTCATAGAAGGACATTCAACGATGCAAAGTTCTCCAGTCAAATCTGCAGCCTGACTTAACTTTTAATGTTTCACTTTTGTATACCCCACGAGATCCTTGAAAACATTTCATCTACATATCATGCATTATGTCATAATAGGTTTTCCCCATACAGGTTTTCTCATCTGCATACTGTTTATTTCATTAAAGATGGCTCTCGAACATACTGCCGAAGATCTTCAGATAAAAAATGCTCTGTTCCAAGAAATGTTCCTGAACTTATCCAAGGGGAAAGAGAAATTAAAAGCACTCCTCACTGAGAGCATGACCAAGAAGAATCCTGAAGATAACAAGGATGACCAGTTGGAACAATTGCAAGCTGAGGTCGCAAGGATGAGAATCCAGATGATGGGCCAGATGGCTCTTATCCAAAACTTAGCTCGGGGACAAGAAGAGTTGAGAATTCTCATCAGTAAACTTCATTGGGATGCATACAACCGTATAGGACGAACAACTAGAATTTGGGATCAAATCATTAATCAACCTCCGATGAAACAGGAAGTTAGCTTGGTTAAAAGTGGGCCTTTCTGGATTGTTACTACATCGCAAGCCCAACAACGACCTCGCCAACAACAATAGGGTAATCAATGTAAGCTGAATACACCTAGAAGACAATTTACTGAAATCAACATGTCATTTTCTCGAGCATTGCAACACATGTTGAAGGCCAAGCTGGTGACATTGAAGGATCCTCCTCAAAAGCCCAATACTTCTTCTTCCCGTCACAATCCTAATGTAAGGTGCGCGTACCACTCCAACAGTCCTGGGTATGACACTGACAGTTGTTGGGCATTGAAATAAAAGATTCAGAACCTGATTGACGAAGGAATTGTCAAGTTCACGCAAGATGGTCAGGTTGAATTTTTCAGTCATCTCTCAAAGGCACACCATCTAAAGTGACAAATTCAGGCGGAGAAGCTTTTTATTCATTAGAATTTTCATTTGTAATTTATTTGTTTGTTCAAACACTTATCTTTATGTCAGACTTTGGTTGTCCCCATTAATGCATTGCATATGTTTGTCTTTAATTAATCCATTTGTTTTCACTATACTTAAACTATGTTTTTACTTTCTTTTTGTTATATTCGACTCTTGATTAAAAGCTATAAGCCTTTAGAGAGAGGATGATGAAAATGATACCATAATCTCTACAGTATGCTTTTGAATAGACCTTACTGACGACGTACAGGCGTTGTTTTACAGCCTAAACAGTGGAGTTATAAGGAAGATGATCTCTAGTCAACCCCTTTGAGCCTAAGAAGTAGGAGTTTTATTTTTCGCTCAAATTGAAACCTTTATTCATAACCTAGGGCAGGATAGTTTCTCAGTTAATTCAAATGTTCATTCAGTCACAGGCTTTCACTTCGTACACATCAAATAGTATCGAAGATGTCCTTCCAAATCAAAATGTTAATTCTTATGTTTTAGGATTGGCTTAATTTTTCTAAAACAAATAATAGCAGCAATCATGTAATGTATAATAGGATGTATAAACCTGCTAAGAAGAA